TCACAAACCATGCGGGTGAATAAACAGTTAAGTGTGTATGCTGTGTCAAGCTTACATGCATCTCTTGCAGGGAGAAAGCGACTGTGGCCGGACTCACACCAGCTCACGGCAGCAGCTTATTGCCATCCCAGCCTCACTGCATTTTTCTGCACTAAACCATCATCTGCAGCAAGAACCCTGAACATCCAACAGCTATTACACAGCATCCAGCCATCAATTTGCCAAGCCCACGCAGCAGCAAAAGTCACCTAAGGGCAGTCACGTCTGCTGCAAAGGTATCCGAGCAATGTGCAGACATGCAAGAGCCACATGTCCTCTGATCTGTAGGAGTGGAGCCCCAAACACTGAAACAAAGAGTCATATATAATGTATAAAGAAAGTGTGAAGACGCTCCCAAGTCAAAATGCAGGATTTGTGCTCCCATCTTTGTTCCACATAAACCCAGGCTTAAGTCAGAAGCAGCATCCTGCTGCAATGAAGGACGAACTTAACGTAATAGTTTGACATTTTGGAAAACTTCATTATTGGCTTTCTGGTGAAGAATCAGATGATGAGACATCACTCTAATTGTCTGTCCACTAAATATGAAACTACAGCTAGCATCTGCTAGTTAGCTTAGCTTAGCACAAACACTGGAAATGGGGAAACAGCTAGCCTGGCTGTGCCTAGAGGTAACAGCTCACTGCAGCTGGATACTAATTAACACCAGCAATTAGTTAATTACATTCATTAGTTGATTAAGAGAGAATTAATTGTCAACTATTCTGATAAGCTTTTAATCAGTTCAAGTCTTTTTTTCAAATGAAAATTCTAAACATTGGCTGGTTCAAGCAGATGTGAGAATTTGGTGCTTTTTCTGGCCACATGTTAGTAAATGAAACAAAAATCTAAAATATCTTATTTGTATAATTGTGTAAAAATGACAATTTGCCACAACCAAAGGGTTGTGTACATTATGTGACTATTTCAGGGCCAGGCACCAAATCTTGTTTTCTGGAAACCAGTCCTCAGTAAAACACAGATCTGTAGCATTTACACTTGGGGTTTTCACTTATTAAACAAGAGAGAGATGAGTTGATTAGTGACCTTTTGGAGCTTTGTGTGTCTTTCGTACAAAGTCAGTCTAGCTACTTCCTTATCTCCAGTGTTTGTGCTAAGCTACACCAACATGCTGTTGGCTGCAGTCTTCTCAAATCACTCTGCACCAGAAAGTGAATATTTCCCAAATTGTCAAGCTATTCTCTTAAACACATAAGCAGGTGGTGTATCACTGGTAGCCCAGCGCAGATGCTGATCCCAGTCTCTGACTGTAGAGGGCATAATGAGGGTAGTATGGGCCTGTGGTGGGCAGAGAGTGCAGGGAGATGGAGGAGGGCCCAGGGGGCAGATGGACCTTACTGTAGGGGTGATAGCGAGCTAAACCCAGGCTGGGGGGAGCCCTGAGAGAGAGGGAGCTGGGCATGGAGCCTGGACTGCTCTGGTGTGGGAGGTGAAGGTGGCAGGAGGCAGGTCCAGATGAGGAAACAGAGAGCAGCTTACTGTCCATTCCCACAGGCAAGGCTGTGTGTGTGCGCAGGTGAGCCAGCAGCTCTTCTGATGTGGTGAAACGTTTGTCACACGGCCCCCCGGCCGACACCCAGTTACAGGCGTGAGGCAGAGCGTCACTGGGGAGCATGAAGCCATAGGTGTAGAGGGGATGGGAAAGGGAGGAGGATGCACTGGATGACAGGGGGCTTTGGTGGAGGGAGTGGAGAGGGTGGGAGGGATATACCAATGGGAAGCTTGATTTTAGGGTGGAGGTAGGGTCGTGGACGCAGGAGTTGCAGTTGCTTCCTCCAAGATGGGATACACTTGGGTAGCTTAAACAGTAGGGGTCCCTGCATAAACCCTGCATAAAGGAAGGTGGGGAGGCGCCCGTGAGAGGGCTGGAGCTTGGGTGCTTTCCTGGAACTCCTATACTCCCCACGCTGAGACTGGACTTTGTTGGATCCAACCCTGGAATAAACTGAGATGGGTACCCTGTGTAGGCACCCACTACAGACCCGTGGTAGCCCATATTAGAAGAGGGCAGCGGGAAGAGTGGTTGGCTTGTCTTGTACGGAGAAATGGGAGTAATATGTCCCGGGCCGAGGTTAGGCTGGGCAGACTCCGCTTTACCTCCCTCATGGTTGGAGCCACTGTCAGAGCTGCCATTACTGCAGTTTGCGCTGGCTCGAACGTGGCTGGAGTTTGCGTGGTGAGGACTGTCCGAGGTCACCTTGTTAACTTCAGCGTCTTTTTTGGGATGATGGTTATTGCTGCTGGTCATGCTGGTAGGGCTGCCCTGCTCATGGGCAGCTTCTCCATTCACAGTCTGGGAGTGTGACTGTCTACCAGGAGACTGGCTCTGTCTGTGAGGCGGCTGCTGAGCGTGTCCAGGTGGCGTGCCACTACTGGATCTAGAGCTGGGTGAGGCAGCATGCGGTGGATAGGACTGCTGACCACTGGTTGAATTTCCATTAGTGGTAACATTATTGCTGGGTACCCTGAACCCGACCTTCTCATTGCTGTTGCTGCTGGTTGCTGCGTCTCTGCGACACTCTCCGCTGCCTTTGTTGTACGGCTTGAAGCTCGATTTGTCCTCCAGGGAGTGGCGGTGGTCCCCAAGCTTCAGGCTGGAGCTGGATGACCGACTGCTGGGCTCCTTGTCCCCCTGGCTGCAGGAGGAGCCCAGCTTGGAGGAAGACGGAGGGTCTGGTTTACCAATCTGAGAGCAGGTCTGTGCCAGCAGGGCCAGGGGGCTCTTCTTGGCATCCAGCTACAACACAGTACAGACAGTGATTAGTAAACTTATTTACTGTAACCTGCCCAGAGACATTTGGCTTTTCAACAAAGTTTCACAAGACCCCCTGACCCCCAGCTCCAGAGCACTCCTCTGTAATTACCAGGCAGGCATGTGAACTGTTGACATACTTCATTTGAACCAGGGCTATAACTAACAATTACTTCCATTATCAATTACTATGATGATGAAACAATTAAATGACTAATTGTTTAGTCAACTGACACAAATAAAAGTCAAACTATTTTAATAATATATTATTTCTGCATATTTCAAGCAAAAATTATCCCTTTTCTTCGCATTTCAACTGAGTATCTTTGGGCTTTGAACTTGACATTTGAAGAATCACTGGAGACTGGGCAGCTGTGATTTTTTTTAAACATTTCAAATAATTAATTAAAAAAATAATCTGACTGATCAATCGTTATCTGCAGCCCTATGTTGATCGACCAATAGTCTAAAAGCTAAAGATACAAAATGACAGTGAACAGCAGCTGACACCAGCGAAACAATCAGTCCATTATCGGAGTTGCTGATTCATTTTCTGTCAAACCATTCGTTTGTGGTTGTGTGAGTGTGTTTTCATGTTGAAGATCAAAACCCTTCTAGGCTGCAGAGACAGACGGCGCCTGTTGTTTCAGCAAACTCATTTCATTAGTCGAAGTTAAATGCGAGGTCAAACACGTTCTTTTATTCCAAGATATTTTATTTTGCATATTTCATAACTAGTGATGAGTTCAGGTTTTGACTGTCATAGCGGAGGAGAACGCACCACATTAAGGGCAGCTTTACATTTTCACCACCCTGCTGTGAAATCACAAACACTGCAGCGCAAAAACAGATTCTAACAGAATAAAACGATGTAAAAGACAATAAATACCTCGATGCTGACTGGTGCGGACGTCAAAGGCTGTAGATATTCCGGGTGTAGCAAGTGTCCAGTGTGCGCAGTCAACATCTTGATAACTCTGATAGGAAGCCGCTTTGCCTGACGAAGTGGGTCCAGAGGGGTCAGCAAAGAGACCACGGCACCGGGACGGGACTTCTTACACTCGGTGGACTCACTGAGCTCGATCCTCTTGCTTACACGATCCGCAGCTGATCCTGAAGGCAGATATTTCATTGGCGAGAGGGCGCGGCGCTGTGGGGTGTGCGTTACTTGTTAGTCCGGAATATTTTTTAAAGCTTGTTGTAATCCATGAATAGACCAGACAAGTCCTGGTGCGTAGCTGGACGCCCCGAAATGTCCCGAAGGACGGAGAAGTCTCTAGTCCCGGTGCGTATTCATCTCCGAAACGGCTCCTGACGTTACTCCAATTTTCAGTTTCAACCTCCCCAAAAACAAGAGTCCACTGTGTGAACTGCAGCGGGTGAAACGGGCCCTGTGCCCTTTCTTCTGAGGCATGAACGACCAGAATGCACTTTATAGATTCCGGGTGTTGAGAGGAAACGTCCCGCTGCGTGTCTTCAGTCCAGACTTGAGCAGCTCCCTGATCACAACAGGCGCAACTCAGAATGCAGCAGCTCCTGTGCGTCGGCTGGGTGGCCGCATCGAGGAGGAGATGGGCGGGGAGGACGTGCGTAAAGGCGGAGCCACGTCGTCCTTTATGTGCCAACATGCACTCCTTTACAGAGGTGGAAAGTAACTAAGCGGGCTACATATACTCGAGTATTTGTACTTAATTTTGAAGGTATTTTACATGAATATTTTCCAAGTCAGTAAATTTCCTCCTTTGTTTTGTGTCTGCAATCATTCCAGTAGATGTGGAAATATTTCAGTGATAAACCAGTTAACACTTCCATCACTAGGGCCTTTCTGCTGGTGTGGCTAAAAACACCAAGAACCAAGGTAACTGTGATCTTGCTTTTTTTTTTATAGTGATAGCAAAAATTCTGACAAAATAAAAACTATCAAATGAACTCAAACGTTACCGGTATCTGTTGCAAACAGGCTGAAAATGTTCCAGGAAACGTTTCAGTGACAGTTGGTCCTTCCATCTACAGCTAAGTGGCACCAACACTGGACCAGATGCACCATGATATGCCGGATGCTGTGACCTGCTTTCCCCCCTTAGGACGCTCTCCACATTTTTTGCATCAAGTGTCCAGGATGTTCTTTTGCACTACATAAGTCAGAATAAATAAAAAAAGAGAGATAAAGGTAGTTGACACGTGCACAAACAGGACAAGTCATAAGCCTTGATGTTCACCTGTTTGCAAGCTGCCCCACAGTCTCATGACCATCAGGACAATGTGGCAACTAGTCACATCACTGAGATGTAGAAAAGAAAATGTTTGATATATTAAGGCTTAAGAGTGAAATGCTCCATTTTATTAACAATTTTCTTTTAACCTTTTACTTAAAAGGTTCAGATATGTTTTTATTTTGGCACAAATCACAGATCATTTGTCTTCTGGTGTTTGCTCTGAGCATATTTATGTACAGAAAACTCAATAAAGTACACAAAACATGTAACATGACAGTCTATTTTCTTTTATTAATTAGCAGGGGTTTTTACCAGTGAAGAAAAATGTGATAAAGATGGATCATCAGTATATGAATGGTTCAATAAATCTGGAATGTTAATAACTGTATTGCATTACCGCCCGCTGACTGACTTTGCAATGAGCTAATTTGGTTAACCTAATTATACAATGAATTGGTTAAAGTACTTAAAAATTACAGCTGACAAAAACTATTAGCAGCAGCCCAAAATAGTCTGCAATGAATTCAGAGAATCAAAGCCCCTCACACTCAGTCTCATTGAGCACAAAATTATTTCTAATCCTTCATAACCTGTAGGCAAAATCCTGCACAATGTGAAGAAGATGAAGGGTATTTGTACAGAGTCTTTGTCAGTCTTCAAAAGCAATGGCTCATATGTAAACGTAAAAAGGGAAATGAATTAATACTTACTGTACATATGCAGGTCTTCTTTACACATGGATTTTTAACAATCTAAAATCAGCATTAGGTGACTAAAAGAAAAACATTTGGTTAGAGTTAACTGTTGCTTTGACCTCATGGTCTAAAGTGCACAACAGCTACTCCCAGCCATCCATCAATGTCCCAGCTGTGATAAGAAGGGAAGAGTGGGAGCAGCATCTCATCTAGAAACAAGGTCACAGTCTGCACTTGTGTGGCTTTGGGGGAAAAGAGAAGCAGAAGGAGCAGTGGTGGTACAGTGCAGTGAACAGGCACGGATCTGGAAAGTGCATTAGCAATTTGAGAAAAAAAAAAGCATTCAATTAATCAATAGAGCTGCCTCTGCAAATTACGGCATCAAAAGCATTAGTATCTCTGTAAAATGTTCAATAGTTCCACAGAATCAGGAGACCTGGCTCAGAAGAAAGTACATATGCATTGTTCTGTAACAGAAGGTCACAAAGAGAAACAAGAAACGCCCACGAGACTATTTGCTGAGTTGTTGCAAGATAAAAGCTTCATGAATAGGATCAATAAAGTTATGTGTTTGATTATGAAGCTGATTTGTTATGCTTACACGCCAGCAACAGCCTTCAGGGAGCTTCTTCACAGTTGGCACAAATGGACTCAAAGATGAACTGATTACATTTTTGAGGTCAAAGGTCAAAGGTCAAGGTCAAAACTTCTTCACACCGACAACAAACAAAGATTCCTCCTATGTTCTTAGTTTGTAAACTCAGATCAGAAGTAAAACAGCATTCGGGTGAAAGAGGAGTATATTCAGAAGAAATTATGGTCTGTGGGAGGACAGAGGGAAGATGGAGATAAGAGGGGAGAGCAGAAACGAAGGTCAAATACTGAGAGAGAGGCCACCGTAAGCAATAGGGATCTTTTCTTAACTTTTCAGGACCTGCCTTGAAGTCGGTCATTAACAAGCAGTGGCACGTCTGTTCACGATTACAGCTTCCTGTTGTTGCTTAATTTGAGGCGAGTTTCCTCTGGTTCCCTCATTAAACAAACATAATCAAAGCATTTGCAAAACTATGAACTCAACTTGAACGATGAATAAAAACTGGGCTTAAAGAATCCCACTACGACAGCACATCATAAACGGTGTTTGTACTGTACTAAAGCAAAGACATTTTAAAACAAGACCCTATAAAGGTTCTTGAATAAGGTCTTACACATCCTGGTATAAAACACAAGCCGGCATCTAATGATCCTGCATAATGGCTGCACATACTTGCTGTCTGTTATCTTCTTCTTCCCAGTGATGTTTCAGTCAATTAATATCTGCACTTACCTTCTCAGTTACTTGCTAGAAATGAGAAGCCTGACACAATCCAGTAAAAATGACAAGAGATAGCATTATCAATGCACTTATTGTTAATTAGCGAGCTAGACAGCTACAGCCTGGAGGCCTTCTGTATCTCCCTCTCTTTGAAATCCAGATCCCATTGTTTCAAAATTTTGAGCGACAAATCTGCTGCTGTTATCTTTGTAAAATGCGTCTGCTGCTCATCTGAATTCGGTGTAGAAACACAGCCATTTTTGATTCACGTCCAGCAGCACTATGTGTTTCATACTGTAGCTTTCTATAGTGCTTCAGTTAAACATAAACAGACTGACATTCATGCTTATTTCTGCTGAGGTGGAAAAATGACTTTTCACTCTTCGGGGTATTTTAAATCTAGTGGACGTTCTCCTGATGGCTGCAGGGAAATTGATTTTGGCTGCACAGCCCCGGAGGCACCAAACAAAGCTTTCCATTGCTCCTATTGCTCCTGCAGCCTTCAGTCCATGCACTCGCTAAGTGATCATTTACCCTTTCATTCACTTCGGCCAATGGAAAGAGAAGGCCAAGCTTATTGCATGCGACACCGACTTATCTCGAGCTGATGTTCATCTAAATCTTATAGTCACACTATAACGGTTCACGAAAGGGTTAAAATAACAGCAAATTAATAAAAACTACAACACATCCTTTACTGAGAACATACTGCACAGTGAAACTAGTCACATTGTACTTTTCTGGGAGACAGTTAAGCCCAAAGTGAGTTTTTAAATTGCTTTGTGTTGCTGAACAGAGGATGTAACAAATCGGAGGCACGTAAAGATCTTGCATATAACCCAACTGCACAAGCTCACATTCAGTATACTAAAAATACAACTTCTCCATTTTCTCACAACACTATACGTTTTCAAACTAATAAAGGATGTCAAACGGTGAAATTAAAGTCCATTTACCATTAACTGTGTTGTCCCGGAGACGTTTTGTAATTTGTACAGATTCCCTGTATTAATAATGACAAAGAGGGTGACACAAAAGTCAATTGTTCTCTTACTGGATTGCCATTAATCCTGAACCTGTCTATAAAATCAAAGGAAAGACAGAGTGCTGGACCAGGGTCTAAGTCATGCACTGATGCACCCTGTTCAATAAGTTACCTTGATAGAAAACCCTGTGGGTTATTTAAACAGAGCAACAGAGGGCGGAAAAAGAAAGAATGCGTGAGGAAGCAGTGAAGGCGACTCTTTGCTCTGCATGTTCCACACTTTGATGGCTTTATTTACTTAACCCTCAGCACAACCCTCATTCATAAATGTCAGGAATGAGTCCATGCACCATTTAGAAACCCAAATGCGAGCTACACCAAACATAGGCTGTGTTCCTGCATTCAAACAGCCGCATAATCGCCGGTCAGCAGCAACCGTTTCAACCCAAACCCCGCCATTACAGAAGGAGAGATGCATTTCAGCGTTCGTCCCACATCTGTCATCGCTCAGCACACACCGCACGCCTCCTCTGCTCTCCCCCAGCAAGCAGACAAAGTCTGTCATAACACTTGACTTGTGGCTTAACAGACTGTGGCAACACTGGGAGGTGGTAAATGAGATTGCTTCTTTATTTGTATTTCTGTCTGTGCGAATACATCAAACCAAGAGCATGCATGTTGCTGAATAGAATCAAACTCCCCTACAGTTACTCTGGTAAAGGGATCCACTTTAATTTCAATTCCTCTTGGACATACAGGATGTCCCACAGGCAAAAGGTGTCTGGTTTCAAGCTTCATGCCAGTTGACAGACACTGAGAGGGATGAGGGTGTCTGTACCGTGCCCGTCAGTCACAAAGGAGCCAGAGAAAGCTCTCTTGTCAAATTGCTTGTCAGGCTTTGATGTTAGGAAGGGCAGAAGAGCTTAATTAAAAGGCCATTATTGTGGAAGTAAACCAACGCCTATCAGCCATGTCACTTCAAACAAATGATCCTCGCCCAACTGCGCGATATTTGACTACAGAGATCAAGGCCAAGGATGCGGTTCGTGTTACTGCTTGGCTGCAAAGCGCACGGGAGAGCCGGAGAAGATGAGGAATCATTTCAAATTAGAGCAGTATTTCATCTTCCTGTTGTGCATGGTGATTACATACAGCTAATTCTGAAGATCACGTGTAGCCATGTCACCTACGTATAATGCAAAAATGTAAAGAATCATGAATTATTCATCCCACCATGCCCCCTTTTTAGTTTGTGATGACAAAGTGCTCTATTTAGGAAGTTAGATTGAAATGTCTGGGGTCTAATTTATCTCTCCAGGATGAATACATGAATGTGAAGTAGCGCCATATTTCACACACACACACACCCTCGGATTGGAATATGATTACCGCTGCCCCAGAAAGTTGTGTAGGAAGCCGTTTTTCACCTGAACAAGCATTACAGTGTCATGTTGAACATTATTCACCATGTGCGGAGCGGCCTGACACACTGTGAAATATTTCCTGCGCTGACCTCAGATTTCTGCTGAACTAAGACAGTTTCCCCTCCAGCTCCAAATGTATGACGAGCTACAGCGGGTGAGATAATGTCATGATTTTCCACAGAATCGTAAATACACATTACTCCTGATATCTTTGAAGCATGGACTGCGCTTTTTTCCCTTTTCGCTGTTCACCTCCTGAAGCTTCACTCCCACTTGCCCTCATTTGTTACTCGTATCCATATGGGATGTTGGCTCCATTACTCAGTGTGTCACTCAGCTCATTGGCACAGGCAGTAATAACTTGTACACAAAGACACATCTGGCAAAATCTGATGTGTTATTTGGTGAGTAAATGCATAACACCAGGTAGTTACACCTAATCTAAGATTATCACTAACACAAAGTCGCTGCCTATTTGTTTCAGGCTTCACTTGTTA